TGTATTAAACACATGTATTTCACCAAATCACACCATAATTTACAGATTACCATTGCTTCTATGTACACAATCTGTTTTAGAGAGAACCTTTCATTTTCTTCACTTGAAAACATACTATTCCTCATCCCCCCAGGCAAGCAATGGTGAACTTGATCATGAAAGGCTGTGGTTAGACCCGTACTATTTGGGTTACAAGTATTGCTGCTTTTCCTTTTGTAAATGAAGCAGTAGAGAACTTGACCATTTTCCCAGTGTGTTACACACACATTTACTAGTCAAAAGTAGAATAGCGTGATCAGGAAATGTGCATTGTATAGCTCCTTCTGGGAAAGTAGTGGCTTAGAGCAATTAGTATACGCAAAGGCAGTATTAATAATTCTGAAAAGCAATGGAAATAAAATGGGATATGCCATATTAGAAGCATAAAATCTGTCAGCAGTGATTCACAGATTGTTAGGGGCTGGAAGGGACCTTGCAGATTATCGGGCCCAGCCTCCCCCGCTCTAGGCAAGAAGACAACTGGGGTTAGGTGATCCCAGTGAGGTGACTGTCTAGTTTCCACTTGAAAACCTCCAGGGTAGGTGACTGCACCGCATCTGGAAGGAATTTATTCCATAGTCTGGACACCCTGACTGCGAAGGAGTTTTTCCTGGTATTAAGCCTACGGCTTTCCACAAGTTTGTATCCATTGGCCCTGGTCTTCTGTGGGGCTACCCTAGTGAACAGTTGCTCACCAAGCTCCTGATGCACTCCTCTGATATAGTGGTAAGTTGCTATCAAGTTCCCCCCTCAACCTTCTCTTCTTTAGGCCAAAGAGGCCCAGGCCCCTCAGCCTTTCCTTGTATGGCTTGCCTTGCAAGTCCCTGATCATATGGGTGGCTCTTTTCTGAACCCTCTCAAGTTTTTCCATGTCCTTATTGAAGTGCGGTGTCCAGAACTGGACATAGTACTCCAACTGCGGTCTCACCAGTGCTGAGTACAGCAAGAGTATCACTTCCTTAGATTTACAAGAGATGCATCAGTTGATGCATGCCAGCATGTTGTTTGCCCTGCTGACCACTGCCTCGCACTGATGGCTCATATTCATATGATGGTCAATCATTACCCCTAGGTCCCTTTTGGCTGTGGTGCAAGTCAAGCTGTCACCACCAAGCCTGTATGTATGTTGAGGGTTGTTTGCCCCCCAGATGGAGCACCTTACACTTGGAAGTGTTAAACTTCATCTGGTTCTGGTCTGCCCAACCCTCAAGCCTGTCCAGGTCTGCAACCTATCTTCTGATGTGACCACACTGCCCCATAACTTGGTGTCATCTGCGAACTTGGCCAGCAAGCTTTTCACTCCCCCATCCAAATCATTGATAAAGATGTTGAAAAGTACCAATCCAAGCATGGACCCCTGAAGGACACCACTGGCCACTTCGCACCAGGATGACACAGATCCGTTCATGAGAACTCTCTGGGTCTTACTGTGTAGTCAATTTTCCACCCAGTGAACTGTCGAGCAGCTGAGCCCATAATCGTCCAGTTCTCCCACAAGGATATCATGGTATGCTAGATCAAAAGGCTTTTGGAAGTCTAGGTATATAATGTCTACCTTGTCTCCCATGTCCAAGTGGCGAGAGACCTGGTCATAGAAGGAGATGAGATTGGTAAGACCTACCCACAACAAAGCCATGCTGGTTGTCATTCAGAATCTCACCTTCTGCGAGCGTATCATACATAGATTCCTTAATGAGCTTTTCCAGGATTTTCCCTGGGATGGAGATTAGGCTGATTGGCCTATAGCTGCCTGCATCCTCCTTCTTCCCCTTCTTGAAGATGGGCACAATGTTGGCCCTCTTCCAATCCTCAGGGATTTCCTCTGTGTGCCACGAATTCTGAAAGAGCTTTGCCAGGGGGTCCGCGATGATCTCAGCCAGCTCCTTCAGCACTCTCGGATGGAGTCCATCCAGTCCTGCTGACTAGCTTTTCTTGCTAGTCTAGCTTTTCTAGCCATGTCTAGCTTTTCTAATTGGTATTGCACCCACAATGGGGAGGCTGTCATTCCCGGCATGTCCCCTATGAGTTTTATCTCACTTGACTTTCCCCTTGGTCTGGTGAAATACCGAAGCAAAGTGGGCATTCAGGAGTTCAGTTTTTTCCTGAATGTCAGTTACCAGCTGTCCCGAGGTGTTAAGAAGGGGTCCCACACTTCCATTATTTTCCTTCTACTGTCTGCATACCTAAAGAAGGACTTCTTACTGTCCTTGACTCCTGTAGCTAACCTAAACTCCGTCGTTGCCTTGGCTTTCCTGATCATTTCCCTACTTACCACTGTTGTGTAGTCCTCCTTGAGGACCATCCCTCACCTCCACTGTGTATACACCTCTTTTTTCTTTTTTAAGAGAACTGCAATGCCCCTATTAAGCCAGGAGGGCTTGCCAGCCCTTCTGCTGCCTTTCCTCTTTGCAGGAACAGTTTTCTTTTGTGCTTTGAAGATCATATCCTTGAGCAACAACCACTCTTCATGCACCCCATAAGAAGCCATCTTATCTTTAAAAAAAAATGCATATGAAGGGATGATCAGCAGCTGTTCCCTACCTGTTTTTCTCATTTTCTTTTCCTTGAGAACTAATCATCCATGAACATCTTATACCACAGATGCCATTAAATTCATTGTGTTAAGATTGATGGACAAATTGTTAGTTATAACTAAAAAGTTATAAAATGCTCTGTAGATAAATACTACCTGCATACTTGGTAAACTACCCTGAGCAGGGGGTTGGACTAAAATGATCCTAATAAGGTCCCTTTCAGCTCTACTTTTCATAGCTTATAAAATCATTAAATCAGCCATTGAAAAACACAATGGGGGAATTCTAAAAGAAGTTCTTACCATCTTCCTGGTTTTACCTGCTGTTTGGTGATGCTGCTTTCCCTTTCTAGCCAGGCTGGAATATATTCAGAGCAACATATCCCTCCCAAATAAATTTTAAGTCCTTGATCCAAACCTTACAGGCACTAAAGATTCACAGTGAAAGAATTGGCATAAGGTAAAGCAAGGTGGAACCTCAGGGCATTTTTACACACGCAAGAGCCCTAGCACTGAGAGCTTTGAAAAACGCCTGATGCTGCGATGCTTGCAGTTGTATAAGCAGCAAAATGCGCATTAGCGATGATAAAATGGTGGCAGCGCGCTTTTGAAGTAAAACACATCAGAAGTAGTTTAGTTCAAAAGCACACTGCTGCCATTTTCTGTGTGCTGATGTGCATTTCACCACTTATACAACTGCATGTGGCACAGCACAGTTTGCCTCAGCTTGTGTGCAGAGCAGACTCAATTAGTGAAGTCTGCTCAGTAGTGGCTGATCTCCAGCATGCTGCAGGATAGAAAAGTATGTGTATAAATGTCCAAGACTGGCTGATCCAGAGAATAACCATTTAGTCTCTAAGATGCAACCCTGCCTTGACTTCAGACTAACATAGCTAGCCACTGTTCTACTAATGAAAGAACAGCAACTTAAGTTTTTTAACATGGGCAAAGGAACGTATTTTTCTCTAACCTTGCCCATCATCAGCTGAACAACTGCAGTATTTTTGCTCTAATATTCCAAAAAATAATTAGCCTGAGGCAGAAATCTTGCATGGGAAATTTGTCTGAATAGTTGAAATTTTCTCAGTTGCAAAATGACAGGCAACTGCAAGCACTCCCTTATAATGGAAACTATGGGTCTATGCATGTGCTCTAATGTGTTCTAATTGGAATGCATCGGAGTAGATGTGATTAATCTAATTAGAACATTCTAGCATGCTGCAGCATCCCACGTATTCAGCGTCCCACACAGGGATGCCACCAACACATCACCAGAATATAGGACGGCCCCTTGGCCAATCAGCAGTGAGGGGCAGGGCTGCTTCCTACTTGGCCAATCAGCAGTAAGGAACAGGGCCAAAGGGCCCCTTGGCCAATCAGCAGCAAGGAGCAGAGCCACCACCTGCCTCCCTCACTGCCTGGCTTGGAACCCCTCTCCTCCTGGCTGTGCACTACCCTACCTCTAGGCACAGTCAATAGAATCATGTGAACAAATGATGGACTTGTATTTCTACCAAACAACTGAAAGGACTTTTTGCTGTCTTTAGAAACAGACAGGGGACAAAGGGCTTAAAAACAGGACAGTCTGGTATAAAACAGGACCATTCTAGTCCCATGTGGGGGCACCTTAACTAAAGCTCATCTAACAAGCATTAGTCAAAGCGCCTCAGAGCCATTTTGAAATGCGGGATGTTTAATACGTGTAACGCTGCAGTGTTTTAATTAGAGTGGCTGTGCAGGAGCCAATCTAATTAATATGTCCCCTTCCCACCCCAAAGCACGTGTATAGACACCCAAAATCTTACCTTTAGGTGCTTCTACCACCTCCGCCCACAGTAAGAGATTAAAAACTAATCAGACAGATAAGATTTGAATAGAAGTATTATATGGAAAATTGGCAAAAGTGAATTTTCTTTTGTAACTTCCTTATTCCAACTTGATAACATCCTTTGTTTAGAATCTAAATTCTGTGAAGCAGAGACTTGTCCTATGTATACAAAATACCCTATCATGTTTTGTTTCCTATGTAAATTATACACTAAAATAGGGAGGAAAAACATTTTTATTCAATGGGATGGCTGTGTTCTTTTAAACTGATTTATAATCAACACAAGCTCTGGAAACTCCTGGGAAACACACAGTTGCTAATTTTATATATTGTTTATTGACATTTTGCATTCTACCAAAACGCTGTTTTCTTTTTCTTTTAGGTAACTGACATGGCCTGGAAGGAGAATGGGGAGAGGGATATTTTAATCTGGAAAATAAAACAATGTTTTGTTTTGTTTTAATTTGCACAAGTTCAAAGAATTAAAGCTAAAATATTCTCTCAGCAGAAAAAAAATCCTTTTATTTTTTAAAGCTTTTGATTTTTGTCAGGACAACATGTAATCCCAACCTTGTCCACAAGAAATCAAAGAGTTTGGGCTGAAACAAAAGTGCTGAAATGAATCAAACTGCAGAAAATTTAGACTTTAAAAGTTTTTTTTTTTACAGGTGTCTTTAAGATGTAGGAAGTAAATAATAACATATGTTCAAGAAAAAAGTAAACTACTATAATTTAGAATAGGCATTTATTAAATGTTAAACAAATACTTAAATTATAAAATTATATTGTTTCAAAAGAAACATCTTACTTTTTTAGCTAGACTGAACTTCCACATAGGTCCTTGAGGAGGAAGTAGGCAGAACCTATTCCTTTTGAATCTCCCTTATGAGGTAGAGAAGCACTCAGTAACTCCAAGAGTACACCTCAGGCCTCATTGGCTAAATTGCAACTGAATACATTTTCAGCAAAAGTGAACTCCTGAGCGGTAAATGTCCTGCCTTACCTTTCAATTTGTGAAACTAGACATTAACATAAGAGTGAAAGTTACTATAACAAATTATTGTTAAATTCACAAAGAAAACAAAATAGAACAATAGAACTGAAATAACTCTTCCTCTGGTCTCTTCCAGTCTTAAGGTAGTAATCTTGGATGCTACTTGTAACTAGGTGTAAATGTGTTTTGACAAAGAGTTCAATGCCAATGCCTTTTTTAAAAAACAATCAACCATCAGTAATGCTGAAGTAGAAAGCCAAAACACATCCCATTTTTATCAGGGAGTCATCCACAAAGACTAAAGAAGTAGTTGGCTTCCCACAACTCCCTATTAATGCTGTTGTCCATTCCTCTTTCCCACAGGAGCTATGTCTCTTAAACGATTTAACCCAGCTCCATGGGATGGAAAAAAAAATGTATGACACACTCTGCATAACATCTAATTTTCTATTTTGAAACATACCTATTCATTTTCCTCTGCTGCTACAGAAATCATAAAGTGGAGCCCCCACTATACCCAGAGTCTGAAAATGGGGCTTCTGCTCTGAGTCTTTCATCATTAACATACCAAGCATTGTCCATCTCATGGCCATTTTCTCAATGGGCATGTAGACTTCAGGCTAACAGGCACATTCTTCTTTTCCCAAATACGTTCCAGAGTAGATTTGTTAGCCAGCACTGGACAACTGTAACAAAGCTGGAGGGACACAGGGGAAAAAGTTCATCCTGTAATATCATCCTCTTGAATGAGACTATCATAGTTGTGCAAGCAAATGAGCAACAAATGAGTTGGATAAGAACTCCAAATCTGGGGAGGAAGCAGTCTTGAGTTGTTAGCCAAATGCTGAATTAAACGTTATACAGAAAATAGGTGGAATTCCCCCCGAAGAATGAGCAAACTCAGTGGCTGCACAGCAAGGGAGAAAAGTATAGCTTTTCTGCCCAAGTCACAGTGCCAGTTTTTCGCTGGCCAAGATCTCTTATACATCTGTATAAGATCTGTATACTGTATAATACTAATGCTGAACTATCGAGCCTTGAGTAGTTAAAATACTATTTGCATTTGTCTCTCTCAAAATAAATAAAGGGGAATATTATTATTATAATACTGATTTCCATTATATAAAGCAGATGCTTCTGTTTCAAATTTGCTTCAGAAGAATAACTTGGCATATAATCACATGTGGAGACCATCTATGAGTATGACAGTAATGAGTATAATTTATATTAAATTGAAAGTTTTTTTTTTAATGGAAAACTATTGCTAACAATATGGTGTGATAGACAATAAGCCTTGTCTTCACCGTAACAATTAGTCTATTACCATAATTCATACACTACAGTTGCCCTTCAGTTTGCCCAAACACTGGACAGTCAGCTTCATACTTTTTCTTCAGGCCTTTCAAGTATATTCGCAAGCTGTCTGGATCCAATCGAGAGTTCCTGGCAGTCTGAACAAGCCTTGTTGCCAGATGATAAACAGCCCTCTGTCTTAATGTCTCGGGAGTGCTTCTTTGTCTTTGCTGTTCTTGAAAATACACACAGCCTTTAAAATGTGAATTTCAACATTCACTTATTAAAATAGTAATGTTAGCTCTTTTTGTCTGTTCCATTTCTAGGGAGCTGATCTACCATTTGAATTTAAATCTGTAGTACTAACTAGTACTTCCAAACCATAATGAAAAAACGGTTTTGTACTTGATGGTGCTCTATAAACCCCTTGGATCTGCTTCCAAAAATACAAAGTCTAGGTTATGAAACTAACACAAGAATTACATGACAAATCAATTTGGAATCCACATTATGAACAGTTTCTTAATATACAAGTCTCCGATAAGAAGTTATAAATGTTATTAATTATGGATTTTTTTTCAACACTTCATGGAATGAAGATTAACTTCCTAAAAGTATAAAGAGTCATCCCCAGAGGTGGTGTCTTGGGCAAACCCTACAGAGGTGGGGGAGAAAGGAGACAGGATGGGGAGAGCACTGGAGGAATGTGGGGGGTTGGGCATAGGAGTCTTACCCATGCCGGGGATGCACAAACAGCCACCCCCAGCTGCTGCTCTTACAGTAGCAGCACAGAAGCTGTACATCTGGCTGCTGCAAAGCCATAGGGCTGCTTTTGCTGCCAGGATGTAGACAGGGTTTTGGGGCGATTCCCTCCTAAGTGCATGCTCTGCTCGCCCACCCCTAGTTATGCCACTGATTATCTCTACCTTTCCCATAATGAATTTAATTGACATGTTAGTTACAAGTAACATTAATCTTCTTAAAAAAATTCTCAGTGATAATACTATAACTTCCCCATGAAGATCTTATTTCTTACACGTGCCATACAGATGGAGTTCTGTAATACATTTAAGAAAATATAAATAGTTAAAAAAAACTAGACAGTGCACTAGACCTAAACCTCTACACTAGCTATGATAACATGTTGGAAATGTGTGTCTTCTAAGACTACAAATTCCAGTATTATAAACTTCCTACAAACCAGAATTTGTCGAGTAATATGATTTGTGATATTCTTTGCATCCAAAATTATTGATGGAGGTAGAGAGGAAACTTCTGCAGCTTTTAAACCTAAACAAAACAGACAGAAGTTCTTTACTGACTGTGCCAGAACAAACTGTTAAGATAATCAAAGCATCATTGTCTTAAATGAAGTGTTTTGAACCCCCCCACAAAGATTTATTTCCTTCTTGCAAGTGCCCTCTTCTTTGTTTATGAGTTCAGTAATTCTCATAATAGAAGAAAAAACTAATAGACGCTTATGAACAACAAAAGCTAATTCATGTCTACTCACAATCCATGGCAACATCTGCTCTGACATACGTATATTCAAACGAAGTATTACGACACCTCACCGCTAAAGACATTGTCAGAATCTTATCAGCTGTGATATTAATTTGGAGTATGGACAGTCTCCACCCCCTTTGCTAGAATGGGGGAAAAGAAGCCCTCACTGTGAAGATTAAAAAGGCAAAGATTGAAGAATAAGGTCAGCAGCCTTCAATTTCCATTTCCTTTCAATTTGACAGGCTGTTCTGGCCACAAAGAAAGAACAAATAGTGGGCAAAGTAAAAATAGGGAGCATAAGGGAGAAATCAACCTGGATAGCCAATATTCAGGGGTGGTGCAAATAGCCAGTGCTTTCCATCCTTCAATTTTTTCAGTCCCCAGAAACTGAAAAGGCACCTCTGAGGCCTCAAAGACTGCATATCAAAATATTGCCAATAGCAGTCCTGCTACAAAACTCTAGCGCTTGATCCATCTTCTAATCCTGGATGGCTGGATGGTTATGGCTGCTGAAAAGATTTTCTTCTCTGTAGGTGAGCTGCCTGCTTTGGAAACTGATAGTTAATAGTGGGACTTTCAGGAGTCCCCAAATTTCCCCAAAGTTGTTCAATGTGATTTATTTAGATAGGCCTGTTAAAGGTTGTATCTATGACCCAACTTTTGTTTAAAATAAAAGGAAAAACAGAAGGTTCAGCCAAACCTGTCTTTGAATTGAAGTTCTTGATATTTTTAGGGATTGTATGCATGGTTCAAGATCATTTTCAAGTTTAAATTAAAATGGCAAAAGACATCCCAAAAACAAAGTAAACATGACCTAAAACCAAGTTAGGAGAAAGTGGGCATGTCTACACAAGACACAATGGTGCAGAAGCAACAAGCCACTGGGCTGTAGCTCGTTGCTACAGCCCGCAGTAGCATTGCCAGGCACTAACCATGCAGTGACAATACAGTGCAGTACTAATGAGCTATGGCGTAGTAGCATCAGGAAAAAAAAGTGTGGCACAGTACTGCACAGTAATACCAGTTACTGCAAAGTCATTTAGTACTTGCTTTTGCAAGTACTAAATGACTGTACATGTAGACATGGCCAGCGGGGAGCAAATCCACATCTTTGTGTACAAAATACCACTGCTAAAGCAGTGTCCTCAAAGTATTATTTAATTATCCTGTCGCTCCAATAAAAGTCTACAATCACAGTAACCATAAATATGGATGAGTGATAGCAGAACATCAACTAACAACCCCGCAACATGGAAGATCCTGAATTTTGCTGTTTGAAGTGGAAACTTCACAACATGAAGAATAAAGAAGCTAACCTCAACAGAGAGATATACTTTCTAAGCCTATGCAAGAACCCAACATCATTCCCAGAAGACTGAACATCTACAATCCTCTGACTACCCCACACAGTTCCAAAGATGCTTCACAACTATGCAGGAGAACTTCAGAAAAAACTAGAAATCATCTCCTTCATATAACCTACTCCAAAAGAAATCAACTCAAGAAAATCAACACATGCTACAACAACCTCAAAAGAGATTAAACTGGATATCTTCCCATACATTGTATAATGTATACAAAAAGACTACCAAAGGTTTGTTATAACATTCATCCAATACAAAAAGAAGAGATGGTACCAATTACTACAGGAACAAGTTTTCCAGCCAGAAAAACAACCCTCAGAAAAACACCAGGAATACCTTACAGCATTTCAACCTCATACTTGATGACAGTGGAAGGAACCATTCAACCCTCTAATATTATCAATCTCTTACCAAAGCTGAAAAATCTGTCCTGTATAAAGGCCATAATTTCTGTTCAGAAAAATACCCAAATAAGATACTACAATGTGGAGAACTAGAAGAAATTTTTGAATGACTCCGTCTGAAGGAATATTTCCACAACCAAAACAAATCCACTTTCAACACTACTTCATCCTGTGACAACATCAATAAAAATATTAATGCCAAAAAATCCAAAAAACCCTCAGATTGGACACCTTACAGTGGATGAAATTCAAACCTCAACCGCTATATTAACTGCTTTGGAGAAAGAATGAATAGTGAAATACTCAACAACAAAACCACTATAGCAGCCTCTCCCTCTCTCTAGGGCCATAGAATCTCTAAGATCCAACCACCAAATAGTAACAAAACCAGCAGATGAAGGGAGAGCTATACTTATCCTAAATTGTGAAGACTACATAAAAGAAGCCAACAAACAACTCTCTGACACCACCTACTACAAAAAACTAGAGGAAGATACAACTCCCCTTTTCACCTCATAACTACCATCACATCATTTCCATCTGAATTATAAGAAAAACTGCAGACCCTGATCCCTCCATTACCCAATCCAGGGACAATTTACATGCTCCCTAAAATCCATAAATAAGGGAACCTGGGCAGACCTATCATATCCTACCATGGAACCCTAACTGAACAAATATCAGGTTTCATTAAATCTGTCCTAAAACCTCTTGTCACCCAAAGACCAAGTTTTATCCAAGACACAACAGACTAGGTGACATGCGGGGGGG